GAAATGCTGCAGTTCCTAAGGGAGGGAGAGTATCCAAACAATGCAATTTGGGGGTCCGGAATCAAGGTACATTTCTACACTTCAGAGAACCATTTGAAAATGTCACCCCAATATTGAAAGAGCCTGGGGCATGACCAGAACAGATGAGTCAAGGAGCCATCAGCAGATTTACATCTATCACATTTTGGAGATATTGATGGGAATATTCTGTGCAATTTTATTTTTGAATAGTGGAGCCTGTGAAACACGTTGAACGGAATTAACTGGTGCTTTACATTAATAGGGCATGATCGGATCCTCCCAGGACCATCCTCCCAGACCTCACTCCCAATCTGTAAGCCCAGCTCCTCCTCCCATGCAGCCCTCAGAGTCTGTGGCAAAATTAATTTCCTCTGCAAAAATCCCAACAAAGCATGAAATAATTTTTTCTTTATTCTGGGGAGCCCAACAGCATTCTGCCTAACTTATTTTCTTCAATTCTCTCAATCTTGAAGAAAGGCAATTAGATCAGTTTTTCACTTTGGAGTAAACTGACTGCTGTGGATTAATGAAAACCCTCTTTCAGCCTGATTCTAGCTTTTTAGCAGAAAACACAGAGTTCACATAAATTATCTCTTTATTTTTACTATTCTTATAATAGTACGATTCTTTTTCTTGAAATATTAAGACTATTAGAATTTTAAAACTACTTTATTTTAGCAATATTAAGACTTTATTCTCATATTACCATTTTGTTCTCTTTTTAAAGTCACTTTTTTTTCATATCATTACCACTATTGCACTTTATTCTTTGTTAATACCCCTTATTCTCACAGACCTAACATTTAGCTATTTTCATAATGTGACAACTTTAATTTATTAACCAAGAGTTATGAAATTATTCTCATGACATAATGACTTTATTTAATTATAAAATAATAGAAAAATCTCTTGGATTTTGTTCCACCACAAAAAAATTTTGCTCAGCATAAAAAAGAATGTCAATCATTTAAATCGGCTTATAAAAACATAGATTAAAATGACACATTAAATCCCCATCTAAACATATTTAACAGCAGACTATCTAGACAGGATTAACAGCAGAGTTCTCCTCTGCAGCCGATGGGTTTTCATCCAGACTATGAAATAATTTACCTGATTGATTCAGTTACTTACGTGAATCGAGTGTTGGGAGTAGGAAAATAGGGTACAATCTGATTTATTTTCTTTCCCCCTCATGATGTTTTCTTCTTCCATAAAAAAAAAAGACAAAACTAGAGTTTTTTTTTATGTTATGTTTGTTCAAGCTGAAGGAAAATCCCTGCTCTGGTTGATGAATTGATAATTGGCCTACAGTGGAAGATCAGATTTATTTTATAGCCTTTGGTTATTTTGATTGTTTAAAGCCTTTAAGACTTTCCTTAAAAAACACTGAGCTAACTGGCCTTAAAACGGAGAACGACTTCAGTGATTAAATTAGCTGTTAAAGTGTTAAACATCATAATGCTTTACAATTCAGGAATGGATACTGGTGCCTCTGTTTCCCATTATATCAGAATACGTCTTTATTATAGTTATAATTTGCAGCTAAAATGAAGACAACAGCTTTATTTTTTTATACTTTGGTTTGATATTTTGGAGATAAAAAAAATCTAACATGAAATAAAATTTAGTTTAGGATGAGATTAAATATTGTGTAAACAGTGTAGAGAAGATTTGATTTATTTTCTCTCTCTCTCTTGGTCTGTGCAGGAAGGAGCAGCAGTTGGACTCTAAAGATGCCATCATCCTACATCAGTTCTCCAGACCAAAGAACGGCATCCCCAGCCTCTCCCCGTTCTGCCTCAAGATAGAGACGTACCTGCGCATGTTAGACCTGCCTTACCAGGTACCAGAGAGCGGCGCTGAAAGGATGCAACATTCCAACACTCTACGCTATCAGTGCATTTTATCCGTTTTTATTGTTTTTCCCAAAAAAATACAAGTAAAACAATGTTTGGTTTTTCTTTCCCTTCAGGCGTTTTCTAAAAAAAAAAAAAAAAACAGACAACATTCCTGGTTGTAATATGGAATATTGTGTAAATATTTAAAGGGTGGGAATTCTTTTGCTGGACACAGGGGCGGATTTAGGAAATTGGGGCCCTAGGCAAAGACAGGCAGCGGGCCCTCTGAATTGAGAAGACAACACATAAAAAAGACCCATTCTACAGATAGAGAAATGTAATTAGAATAGACATTCATTGTTCGTTCTAGGTTTTGTCCCTTTTCTTGTTTTCCTCTCTATGTTTTGTACTCAGCTGACTTTTCATGCTGTCTCAAAAGGAATGAAAGATTTTTTCCAAGCACACTTAATATTATAAATGTTCTGATGGCATTTTAGCCAAAGGATTTTAATCAAAAACATAATTAATACGCACAAATAAGGAATAGTTGTATTAACCATACATGGAAACAGAGTTTTATGGGGCCCCCAGGAA